CATTTATTCATTTTTTGTTTATTATTTGATAAATTTTTTGTTTATTATTTTCCTTGTGATTTTCCTTGAGTAACCATTGTTTTGACTACACATAATGCCGAGAAGCGTCCTATCTCTTGGCGAATTTTTAACCGTTTTTTGATTCGTTTTTTGTTTATTATTTTTTACATTTTGGCAGAGCTGGATGCGATGACACCAGGGTTGCCGTCCGCCTACGAGATGGAGAGTGAACAGAATGAAAAGCCTCCCATGGGAGTGACGACAGAGGCACTGGAGCAACTCAAGTCTGACGTACACCTGTGTGTTAACGACACACTGTTCAAGCAGATACACGAGATCGAACAGGTGAGGAACGAACAGGGATGCAATTTTCGGAGTTGTTTGCAGCGCTTCTTTTCATTGCGTGTAGTAAATTGTTCTCAAGTTGTTGTCACTTCTGTGTTTGTATAACGGTCTCGACAAACACTTAGCAGTGCCCGCCGCAAGTGCGGGAAAGGGAATGAGAAATATCTCCCGAGAAGAAATACATGGGTGGTTTTATACAATTGAGCTATCTGTCTCAGTCACATAACCCTTCTCCCATTGGATGCTGATGCTAGATGTGTCAAGCTAGACAAGTTTTTCCTATGTTTCGCCTGTGCACGCCAAGTTGTTGTGTTTGTGGGACTTTGTTGCTATGCATTGTTATTTAGAACGTCCATATCATAATGACTGGTCAGAATTGCCTATCAATTATAGATTATAATAGGCCGATTGATCAGTTTGCTATGCATGCAGTTGCGTGTCAATAACAGATTAGACGGATTGATATGTTTTATGTGTATGCAGCTAATCATCTGTGCTCTCTCACATTGCAGTGTTACGCAAGGAAGCACACCCACTACGGATTTCTCGAAGCCCTCATACGCCGAATTAAGAGACTCATCAATCTACACACCAGTTGAGTAGATCTGGCAACGTCAGTTCTCCGTGCTGATATCAATGCTAAAGGATTCAACTGCCAAGCATCACTCAACGATTCATACTTCACGAGTCGTTAGCAAAAATTCTAAAGGCCATGTTGTGATTCCATTGTGTACGTAATCAACCTTGTTAATATCCGGGAACGGGTTGTTGATTGTGAGTATGTGTTTTTGAGTCCACAGTTTTCATCCCGTGTTTGTACCATTGGGATTTCGTGTATATTGGCGACGCAGCGGTTATCATGTTTAAAAAAATGTAAACGGCGTATACAATCCTTCTAAACGTAACACGTTCATAAACGTACAAATTGCCACTGCAATTAACCACGTGCGCTTATTTTGTCAATTGTATGTTTCTGATTATTGTTAACTATGTATTTTCCAACAAAGTATTCGAATCGAGTGAATCGAGAAAACGAGTGAAAATCCGGTGTTAATTCTATTATGAATATGTTATCAAAAGATTCATATCGGTGGACATGGCTATGACTAGAATTAAAACAAGTACATGTTGTTTCACGAATAATTTGCATAATGATTACTGGTAGATATGGCCTGTGCATGCCGATATGCCGAAACTGTCTGTATCCCTCTCGTATTTTGTATTTTGTGTGGGGAAAAAATATAACTACTCTAGAGCTATTCAGTATGTTGTGTTTGATTTCTTTAGTATGCACTCGTTCAATGTCAGTAACAACACGATAGACTTATAAAGCCTTTGTATCGAATTTTTTTTTCTTTTGTCATTGAAAGTCCTTGGAAAGTCCTAGTTTTATGTTTAATGTCCTGGAATTTTACATTTTTGACCTAAAATAAAAGCAAATCTTCCTTGCTGGTTTTCTGACTGACCCTATTCCAGTTAAGTTTAATCCAAAATTTACATGTCAATAGCCTCGTTCACACGAGACCTCGTATTTATGAAATACGGTATTTGCGAAATACCGAATCTGAGACAAATACGCGGCCGAGCGTTCACACGCTGATTCGCGGCTCCAGAAATGCCGTATTTGCGAGCTGCGAGCTGCTTTAAACAATCAAGCAAACGATGCAAACAAGTGCTGCAGAGCGACAGCGCTCAACTGACGTGTACTGTAGCCGGGTATTCTTCTGATAAACTCATTGGCAACCGAATCAAGTTGGCTCTCATAGCAAAAGCAGTTCAGTCCTTTGTTAACAGTCAACAAATCCATGTTTCACTCTCCTCTTGAGGGTCAAAAGGTTATCAGACACTTACTCTTCGCACGTCAGCGGAAAGTACATTTCATGGTCCTTTCAATAAAGTGATAAAAATGGTAGGTCAGCGCAAAAAAAGGAAAAGTTTTGCACTCGGTCCGTTAGACCATTTCCTCAGAAAATGTCTGATATCTGACGTTTCCCCCACTGCCCTTTGACATGTGACCTCCAATTTCGCGCTGGTGATGGGTTTCTTCCCCATCACACTATACATGGAATATTAAGAGCGTAGCTCGAGCTGTTGAGATTTGTCCCGCAATTCCGTATTGCCTCCTATACCTTAAGTTAAAGGGGGAATATTCCCTCTCCATTGACATCTTGACCTTTGACTATTGACCCCCAAATTCGACATCCCGAGTCCTTTTCGCGAGCACCCCCCCCCCCGACGTCCCGAATATCAAGACCGTACGTCGAGCGGTTAAGATTTGTGTAATAACTGTTGACACACGGACGGACGGCCGGACGGACGGACGGACGCACGGACGGACATTCATGCGCTTCTACAAGCTGCATCTGACTTCGCAGCTGAGCTAAAAAGAGGGCAAACAAACTAGTTTTAGCAGATACTGTTCTGTGAATTTTCGATTAAATTTAATATTATATGTTATTTGTTATTATTTGTAAAAATTTAAAACCAGAAATATACAATATAAAAGAAAATCTTTGATTTCACCAGCTCAGCAAGTACTCTTAGCAAGAAATTTATAGAAAAGATTGCTCTCATGAATTAGCGTGTAAAACAACCATTTTTAATTTTATATATGAATCTAAGGTATATATGATGACGCTAAAATGCAAAAACTACTTGTCACGGATTGACCTTGAAAAGACACATGTCCTTGAAATGTCATTGAAGTCTTTGAAAAAATAATTCACACTTGTGGGAACCATGTACTGAGTACCTAGCAGTAATAATGTACCATATAGAATCAACCATCACGAAAAATCAAGAAAAGCCAATATGCCTTTTCATTCAATATCTGGTATTCTATCTATTTCTATCTATCTTTATCTGGTATGTCTATCTATTTATATGGTACTATCAGATATGTCCTATCAGGTTATATTCTCTCGGGAATAAGTGATCCCCCTCTCCCAAATGGTATCGCCTACGCCCTCGTTAGCACGGTGATTTTATTCAGGCAAATGGCTGGTTTTCAGCCTCGACTTTTTCACCCCCCCAAAGCACAAAATCTGATTATACGGCTATAATACGCGTTTTTACAGTCACACAAACACACATACACACACATTAACGGACGCGCACACGTGGGTATGGTCGCACGTACGTGTGCGCGTGTATTATAAGCGTAAATTCACATTTTGTGCCTCGCGGGGTGAAAAAGTTTAGGCTGATATGCGGCCATTTACTTGCAAAAGTTTTTCCATGCTTGACTGGTCGTGGGCGATACCATCCGCGAAAGGGGAGTAAGGAATAATTAAGTGATTACTTTTATTCTGCCTGACTTATATGTTATATATTATATTATGTGTTATATATTAATAATGATAATAATAATAATAATAATAATATATGTTATATATTATATATATTCTGTCTGACACAGTAGATGGAAGGTCAGCATAAAGAACCGGCAATTGTTTATTATTATATAATTATTAAATCTTTATTGCATGTAATTCAACTGCAATAACATGTACTGGAGACAGTCTTTTTCATGGAGAAAAAATCGAATGAATGCAATAGTGCTGAGCAGTTAAAATAATAAAATTTCTGAGTGATACAGTACATTGTGTTAAAAACCTGGCTTACAACCATGAAAATATATCGAGACACTAGCAAATCAGCGTTCTAGTGTAACTAGTATACTATTTACATGCTTACAACACAGGTGCATGGTTACAACACTACGCAATACTAATGTACGTAGCGTATAAACCTACTACACACTAGTACAACACTAGTAGGCCTAAACAAGACGTTATAATTAACAAAAAGCATCATTATTGTTCATCGTCATTCACTCAAATTCATGCGTGATTCCTGAGCCACCGAAATTCCTCTCGTACTGTTCATCGGCCAATTTGTTAAGCTCGTCTGTGTAATGGCGCTTCCAATCACCAATCTTACCTGTGACACAAACACGTCAAAACTATTAAAAAAACTTCATCACAAAAATACAAGCATTCTCTCTCGTTCTCTGGCTCGGCGCTCTTTCTCTCTCTCTCTCTCTCTCTCTCTCTCTCTAGTCTGGATAGACGCATGACATGCTGCTGCTGCCCTGGCTCGGATGTGCTGCTCGCTACTTTCTTGATTGGCTTCGTAGGTTGAGCAATGGTAAAGCTGGCTGTCTGCTGCTGATGCATGATGAATTGCTGCTCGCTCGCTGCTGATGATGATCCGCTCGCTGCTGGTGGTGCTTGCTGCCTCGAATAGGGTGCTGCTGCTGCTGCTGCGGATGGTGGGCTGCTCGCTGACTCTCGTTTAATTTTTGCTGCTGTATAATGATCGCTGCTGTGCTGCTGCTGATCGGTGGTGGATGCATGCTGCGTGCCTGATGACGGTCTGCTCTGCTGCTCGCTGACTTGTGCTGCTGCTGCTGGCTGATGCTGCGCGCTGAGTATGAGATCTGCTGCCTGCTGCTACTAGTGTTGCTTGCATCGCGCCTACTAAGATTTTGCTGCTGGGTACGAATTTGATCTGCTGCTGCTTCATGCCTTATGATCGGTCGGTGGAGCCTGGCATTATCTAGCTTTAGAGCTTTTTTATGACTGAACCAGCTGCTGCTTTGCTTGCTATCTTGTGATAGTAGGACTGTGTAAAATAATCCGCGCCTAGCTGACAATTTAAATGATGCTGCAGCTGGTCTAGCTGCTGCTTTCGGCTGGATGGTTGCCTGCCTGCTCTCAACTGGCATTTTTGCCTGGCTGAGCTCTGATGATCGCATACTGCTCTGCTGCTGATTGGTGGTGATCTGCTGCTGTGCGTGGACTCGGACGACGCCTTGCTGCTGCTGACTCGATGTAGTGATGCGTACTCGCTCAGTGCAATGACGTAGCCGGGACTCGGCGACTTGCTGCTGGCTGCTGCTGATCGGTGAGTGACTGCTGCCTGACTGCTGGTGGCTGATCGCCTGCGCTGCTGCTGATCGGTGGCGACGTCGCTGCTGCTGCGATGACGCTGCTGCTGCTCGCTGATGCTGATCGCTGACGTGACTCTGCCACTGCTACGGCTGATGATACGCCAGGCATGTGCAGGCTTTGTAGAGCTATCCGCCTACTGCGAAAGTGCCTGCCTGTCTGATGATAATTGATGGCGCTGCTTGCGCATGCTGCTGCTGACTCCCGGTCTGGCTGGCTAACTGCGATAATTTGCTGTCTGTGAATGATCGAATGCTCCTAGCTGGCTGCTGAATGGTGGTGATGCTGAGCTGCTGCTGATCGGACGCTGCTGCTGCTGGCTGGATGATGGTGATGG